TTTTGTTTGGTTGCAATAAAAATGAAGTAAAATAAGACCCATGGTAAAATAAAGTAAAATCCAAAACAAAATTAAACCAAAATTTGCATTCTTTTCATTTGCACTCCCWTACATTTATAATAGTACAAATAAAATTGTACTGCAACCAAACACAATCTTAAGAATAAGATAGGAAGCAAAAATGATGTACCTARTTCCCACTTATAAGAGATAGAATCAAAGTATAAAGAAAGTCGTACAAATTTTGCACCAGTTTTTCAGATGTAAAATTTGCATGACAAATAAGTTCATTGTAAAGTTTGCATCATGTAGAGGTAGAAATTATAACCACAAACAAATGGAAGCAAAACTGAATTGGCTGCAAAAGCTATACCGGTTCAGATTTGCATTGCAAACAAATTAAACAGCACCTTACACAATTCTTTGCTTTCAAACAAATTAAATGATAACATAATTAGTATGTTATTAGTAAAGCATGTGGTAACCCATGTTATCAGTTACAGAAACATGGGCCTTGAGTTAAGAGAATAATTGCTGTAATCGTATAATACATTCCTCACAGAAGGTATCAATCATGGATGCTGTGAACTGGAAGAGTAGTTCATCAGTCATTCATTTGGACGTTCAATGAGGTGGGTCTCCATGAATCATCATTCACGTAGGGAATCAAAAGGAAGACAATGAACAAAAACATCAGTTATTTGGGTAATACCCATGTTGTATTATTTAYTAGGGGTGCAAGTCAGGTTGGCCCRAGTCAAYAGTTTATACTGGGTTCGAGTTTCGAATTGGGTTCATTAAAATTTTGACAAAACCTTAACCCTAACTCGCAAAAGTTGCACCCCTATTTATGACAGAAATAATATTGTTATTAGATTCAGACGGTCGGACCAGATAGAAAGTCAGAAGATCACTAGGTGTCTAGGTCACGGTCGGACCAGAAATAAATAATTCATGTTTTAATTTTGTATGCATTTGGTATAGCTTCTGTTTATTCACTAAACGTTTGTACTTGATTTATTTGTAAAACCAAGAAAAACAATAATAAAACTGTTTATTAACAATYAAGCGTCACTATGCTCCATTAAGCACCACATCAGCAAAATAGTGAATAAACACCTATCCATTAGAGGAAGTGCTAAAATAAAGATTCTTTCAACGGTAGGCATAAACATAAATCAAGCCATGCTTTTGCAAGTCTCTATGCATACAGATTAACATGATAGGTTGATGCCAGCATTTATTAAATAAACGCCCACGRTTTCCAAACACCGCATTCATCGCATTAAAAAAAAAAAAAAAGAACTATCGATAAATTAATAATAAATATCAGTAGTTGTCAAGACCGGATCAGGTCCAGAAGTTGATCYGGTGACCCCGTGAGCTTTCTACTTCAAATGGTTGATGGATTTTTTGGGTACTATAGTTAACGGTCGGACTCGTTTTTAAGCCTGCAAAATCATGACCCATTGAGAGTTTYCCGGTTTTTCACTCGGTCTAAATCTATCATAAATACATACCGCTGGTCCACTATAATAGTTTTCAGTCACCGACTCACCCGGTCTAAATCTATCATAAATACAGACCACTGCTGGTCCACTGTAATAGTTTTCAGTACCAATAGAGAGAATTGCATTGCACTTTTCCAAAGTTCCATCAATGAAAACTGCACATGTTAATAATTAACCTATTGTCACAACATTAGTAAATCCGGATTCAGTACTCACAACGGTACTCACACCATTGTCACAATCACTTGCAACTATGTATTGGGATATCTTCATACTTTGTATGCTTTTATTCATGAATAGCAGCAACACTATGTAAGGACCATTTTGTGAGGACTGAATCCCATCTCAACACTAGTATGATATTGTTTCTCAATACTGATCAATACTAATGATACTAAAATGTGTATAAAGATTGTGCTCAGACAGAAATCTGTGAAGCTATGTTTGGTCAAAATTTCAGAAAGCCAAAAAATGTGTATGTTGAACAGGGAAATCAATTTTTAGTTTTGATAGACTTTCCYTAGTGGTTCAGTCAATATAGCTCAATCAATGCTAAAATCCTCTCAAATGGGCCCTGAGAATCTAAACGAGTGGAGCTCTAACTTAACCCAATATCCAAATTGTTTAGATGTCAATGAATCGGGTAGCTCTCATTGAACGAACTGAACTGACCCAAATTACACATGATCTGGGTTTGTATCATGATGGGTTCGGAWTATAATCGGGTTGGAATTGATTTTGGTTGTTTTGGGCCGATATGTCCGTAACCAAAATACCCCCAATTTGATACCCATTTTTCTCATGGTATATCCGTGAAAAATTCATATTATCATGTCCAAATGTATCAGCTTAACAACTTTTGAATCTTGGTTGGGAAGAAATCAGACTCATTCTGCCCTCAGCGATTCCTACGTCAAGTACCTACGAACCGCAAACTCCASAAGGTGGACCAGATCAGACCCTCTTCTTTCAGATGTTTTCAAAAGTACAAGCATTACAGATATTATGTATTGCAATGGCGGGGCGGGGCACCCCCTCCCCGTCCCTGCCCCAAAATCAAGATACTCTACCCCGTTTCCGGTGGCAGGATGGGTTYGAGATAAGGCACCCACTTTTCGTTATAAGTGAAAAATCCTTAAATTTTCTCCACTCAAGGCAATATCCAAAATACMTTTAATTTCAAGATATTTTAAAAATAAGATTATGAGAATTTGAAGGTATTTTAAGAATTAGATTATGACAATTTGGAAGTATTTTAGAAGTGGAATTATGAGATCCTAAGATTTTAGGAATTTGAGGTAAACTAAGATATATTTTAAAAGTTAATATT